AACAATATAAGTAATTCTGTCACTAATTATTTTATATTTCATATATTTTTGAAGTTTAAATACCACATAATATAATTGAATTAGGAATTTTGTTCTTAATATTTAATCTTTGCCAGTAGGTAACATACTAATATTTATGTTAAATATAATAATAGTAAAATGTTTGAAACTATTTTGTATGAACGATGTAAACATTTTTATAATTTAAGGCCCCCGTCGAATTAGTGATTACTGGATAAATTCATATCCTCTCCCACAGGCGAAAATCCATTGAAAAAGATAGAGGGCCACGGTTTTTATTAATTTCACCCTCACCCTCTAATGATTCATTAATAATTCTTAATTTTTTTTTAAATTTAATATTCAAATAATTGTTCTTAATCGAATACCATTTAATATTAATACATTATACACATTAAACACATTACACACCGTCGTGCAGTTATTATTATTTTTTATTTTTTTACTTAGCTCACATACGCCACGACCGCTGGATAATTTTTATTTAATACTTTAACATTTATTACTATCAAATAAAAATTTAATTTTTTCTTTGACAATATTATAAAATATAGTTTATTCATTACTACCATTGTATTTAGTCTTTCTTGTATAAATTATAATATTACATTTATTTTTTATTAGTTTTCTTCTTCTTCTTTTCGTGTCCGGTGTTGACTAAATAAATATTGTATTTGTTATTAAATTACCAAAATTCCAATTTATAAGGAGATGCATAAAAATAATTATTTTTCTAAAACATTTGAATAACTATTGAATATTTGCTAACCCGTAATTATCACTTTAAAAATAATTATTTGTATTTGTATTTAATGCAACAGATTTAACGAACCATCAACAAAACAAAAAAAAATGACTTCATACCTATCARTTATAATGTATATGATAGCAGGAGATTTACAACCCATTTCATACTTGGAAAATAATGGTTTTCGAAAAATGGTAGTTTTTTAGACTCCCGTTATTTGGAGCATACCTATACCTATTCGTCGTACCCTTACTAGGAAAATAATGCCTGACATTTACCAGTCAACCAAAGTTAAAGTGCAACAAATGTTAATTGAATCTAATTATGTTTGCTGCTTACGAATTGCGTTTCGTATAAAAATGTATAATTTATTATACTAATTGCATCCCGGTTTTTATTGAGCACGTCTGAATTTCGTCCCCATTACCTGTGATATCTTAAAAGGCGAGATTATTGGTTATTGTCAATTTATTATAGATTTAATAAAAACGATTACGTTAAAACTTTGATAATTTCGTAGTGAGTTACGTTTTGTAGACTAACACAATTATTGTCGCAGTGCAGTGTAAACGGTTCACTTATTCACACGTATTACTTTTTTAAACCAAGTTTTTAACTTTTAATAACTATGGTGAGTGAAATTAAAACTATGTTTAGCGAAAAACAATGTGATTTCTTTGTGATTGGTGTGTACAAATTTCGCTTCCAAAAGTACTTAAAAAATAATTTAGAACGGTGGTGTTGTTGTAAAAAAACTTGTACAACTTATATTCATTTGAACTTCGATAATGAAGTAGTCAAAAAAGTTATTGATCATAGTCATTATGATGAAGAAAACGAAATATTGAACCGTCAAATCGTGAGTAATAAATTAAAACGAAAAGCTATCCATGATATTTTTGAAAAACCGAGTAAAATCATTAATTGCGAATTACTTACACAATTGATCAGAAAAAATATGCATTAAGATGCAGACACGCTGCAGCGGTGACGCTAATATTCTCTTGTCTTGGCGGTGCCGGTAAAATTGTGTTCCGTTTCATTTTGCCGTAACCGCCACGCCACCGTCATCGTCACCGCTACCGCCGCTGCAGTATGTGGCAACTTTTATGCACGATCGTCTATTTTGCCAAATTACCAAAAAAATTGGAGGAATTGCACACTTCATTAGACAATATGAGCGATTTCTTATTAACCGATCGTAGTGAAACCTTTTTGTCGGTAAATGATAAGGAATCGAATATCTTATTATTTTTTTGTAAAAATAACTTGATGTTTTTAAGCAATTTTGATACAATTTTTGGTGACGGAACTTTCAAAAGTTGCCCAAGCCTTTTTACTCAAATCTTCACAGTTCATGGCTTGCAAAATGCTAAATATATACCACTGTTATTTTTTCTACTTCCTGATAAGGAATTAAAAACCTACGAAAAGGCATTTTTTCACATTTTGTCTGAATGTAATAAAATAAATATTATATTTTCTCCAAAAAGAGTGTTTGTAGATTTTGAAAAAGCAATACATTTGGCTATTTTATCAGTTTGGCCTTCAATGACTCTGAAGGGATGACAATTTCATTTGAGCCAAAGCTGGTATAGGAAAATACAATCAATTGGCTTAAGTTCTGAATATAAAATTGACAGCGATTAAAGTAAATACTTGAAATACTTTTTTTTTTAAATATAATTTTGAAAACAAGCAATGGCAGATTTTAAATCAAAATCAGCCATCATGTTGCTATTACATCAGATATTTCAATATTTGGACATCTATAAACGCTGATTCTTTTTTAACAGTTACTGCTCATGTATATAATACAAATTATATATTGAAAACATTTGTATTAACTACAGAAAAACTTGTTAAAAATCATATAGCACAATACTTATAAGAAACATTGATTAAAATATTTGAGGAATAGAAAATAAATAATAAAGTAGTAGCTATTGTAACTGATTCTGGTGCTAACATAAAGACAGCGATAAAAAAAAATTAAAGACATTCCTCATATACCATGTATCTACTGTACATAAGTTGAACTTAGTGGTTACAAACACAATGGATGGAGTCAATGATTTAAACATTTTATTTAAAAAATATCGTTCAATAGTGACATTTAAAAAAAAAAAGGTGAGTTGACATCGTTTTTACAAGAAAAGTTAACCCTTTGAAGCATGATGGTATAAATAATATATACCACTTTAAAAAAATCTCCCATTCTTGCATGGTGGTATATATTTAATACCACCATTATATCACATTTAATAAGTTGTAAAATTAACCGGTAGATGGCAGAACTGTCAAAATTTTAAAACATGGTATAATCAATAAAATCTTATTGATTTTCACTTATCATATTTTCGTTTTACAGAAACATGATAATATTTTAATCATTCCATTATCCATTTTCATGTTTGTTTTGTAGTTTTGTTATATCATCTTACAAAACATCTAATGAAATTTCCCTAGTTGATAGATCTTTGTTTTTCTTAAATGCAATTGTTAAAAAAGTGATTCATTGGTGGTATAGTATATATACCCCTGTGAAAACAGTGTATAATATCCATATTAGTTGCTATAGTTGTTATTTTGTTTGTATGCTAAACAAAAATTATTCATCTAGTGTAATTATGGCATATAAATTGAATTATGAAGATATAATTGGTTGCTTGTTTGATTCTGATGCTGACATTAGTGATTTACCATCAGATAATAATAGTTTTGTTGATGACTCTGATGTCGATCCTGTCTTTTTACCAAGTCCATCAGTGAGTAATAGTCCTGTAGTTATACCTCCTAGTAGCTCTAGTAGCTCTGAAGAAGAAATACCTATTCCTAGGCAGTCTAAGATAAAAAGTTAACACCTAAATGCAAACAAAATGTAAAAGATGCTAATATTTCTCAACAGTCTAATACACATAATGATTTACTTGTTAATAATGATGAATAGGGCTCGGAAGTTGTAGGAATTGCATATTGTTCTGTATGATCTCAATTTATAGCAGACCTAGCTAGAAATTTGAAATACACAATTGCGAGTTAAAAAATTGAAAATTGAAAATTCATAATTTGCATATTTTGCCAACTTTAGCTAAAAAGTGCAGATTTCATTAATTTTATACACATATTATGCATATTTCATATTTTTCTAAAAAAATTGATTTTTTTTTTTAACTTTTATATTTCAACTAATATTGAATATAAAACTCAAAATGACCAATGAAGGTATTTATTGTCATCGCCATAGTCAATTACAGAGTTATTAACAGTGATATACTGATGTGATACGCATTTAGTCTATCATGCTAGTATACTGAAATACTTATTTGTAGTACTTTCTTATCGTCGATAAGTTATCGTAAATATAATGATGGTTTCTTTGTTTATCGTTACTGTAGATTGTACACGATTGATGTTTGACAGTTTTGTTTTAGACGTTGTATTATTAGTAGGTGAAGCGCGTATATTTTTGAAATTCAGAATAATATTTTTGCATATTTAACATTTTTAATGCATATTTTTCAATTTATTTGTGCATATTTTACMTTTTTTAGCTCCTGCAACTTCCGAGCCCTAATGATGAATATAATATATTTGAAGAACCACAGTGGGATAAAAATACATAAATCTTTACAAATTCAATGTTTTTGTCAGATTCAAATTTAGCATCTCATATACTCTCATTGGAACCTAAAACGCCTTACATTTTATTTCATGAAATGTTTCCAGATTGTCTTATTGATATAATTTTATTAGAAACTAATTTATATGCCCAGCAAGCTCAAAAACCATAAACATATTATCATAACTATTATATTTACATGATAATAATAAAAAGGTTTATAAATCAATATTAATAGTGTTGATTTATGTTATAATATTTAAAAATAAAGAAAATAAATGTATAATAATATACTTATATACGTATCATAAAAAAAATATGTTATACCTAATACAAAAGGTGTTACATGCATGGTGGTAAGTATGGTATACCACCTTTTTTTTAATGAACAATTTAAAAAACTATTTTTTTATAATATGGTATTGTAAAATAATAGGAAACAGTCACTTAAAGTCAAGAAATCAGAAATAAAAAATCCTGTGCTTCAAAGGTTAAAGCAACTAGGTTTACCCGATTTGAAACTAAAGCAAGATGTATCCACACGTTGAAACAGTAGCCTCTTAACGCTTGAACGGTTGGTAACATTAAAAGAACCACTTACTTGTGTCATGATGTCGCTAAAGGATGGTCCAACAATGCTCCTACCAATGGAATGGAGAATTATAGAGGATATTATACCACTGCTAACACCGTTTAATTTGATGACAACTGAACTTTCAGGCGGAAAATACCCAACACTTGACATGGTTATTCCTTTAGTGAGAGGTATTAAACATTTTTTATAAATTTAATTTTTAATATTATGTATAATTATTAACTAATTTATTTGCAGGTGTGGATATTTCTCTTAATTCTAAAACAATGGAGACAGAATTAGGAGTAGCATTAAAAAGTAAATTAATACAAAATATGGCAGATCGTTTTGATTTGATTGAAGATAATGATATTTTACCTTGTTTTGCAATTGCAACAGTTCTTGACCCACGGTTTAAGAAAGTAGCTTTTACAAATATAGAGTTGGCCAATAAAGCTATACAGAATATAAAATATGAATTAGCTGCATTAATTGGTAATGTTTATTTGAAAACCTACTGGCTACTAGCTATTATTTTAATATTCCGTGTGTCCCAAAAATCAGGGGCCACTTTACCACTCATTACCATGTAAATATTTTTCAATTCTGTTTATGGGACATTAAACTAGACTAATGGATCGTACATTTCTGTGACTTACAATGTTTTTAACTCATATATTTTGCGCATGAGCAATAAAACTTACTTTTTTTTAAACGGCAACCTGTAATTTAAATATCGTATTCGGGTTCAGGGATTTTTTTCAAGCCATTTTGATGTATCAACTTGTGTCCTAAACCCAAAATTGACTTAACTAGAGCTAAGTAGAATTTAAAAAATTTAAAAATTCTATATAATTATTTTTTTTTTCTAAATGTACGTACTTATTATTTTTTTTTTCTAAACACCATTAAACATATAATCTAAATTATTATTATTAAACTAATTAACTATTTACTATTTATGAATTATTATCTTATTTTATTATTACACATTATGAAATAACATAGTTTAAACGTGTGTTTCAAGAAACAAAATTTCTATTTTATTTTTTAAAACATTACTATACATTTTTATTTACAATTTAATTTACAGAAATTACAAACATAAACTATTCAATAAACTGTTCGAAAGTCCCTTCGTCGTGTAAAGCATGCCCCAAATAGACGTAAACATTCACTATTATAGTTGCTGCCAGTATTTGGTTTTCGTTTAGGAGGTAACATGCGTGTGTAATTTTATTCTTTAAATCTTGGCTGTTGATTGAGGATCAGCATACACAACATTTTTCAAGTGCCCCCGTAAAATAAATCTAACGGTGTTAGATCTGGTGATCTTGGGGGCCACTACTGGTCCATGTGTTGTAATACATTTTTCGCTAAATCTTACTCTCTAAAATTCATGAACAATTCGGGCACTATGAGCAGGTGCCCCGTCTTGCTGATAATAAATCTTTTACGTATATCTAAAGGTAAATCATTAAGGAGTAATATTGCAAGTCATTACGCAAAAAATCTACGTATCTTCTTCCCGTTAAAGTTCTGTCATAGAAATCCCSSCCCAAGTAGTTACTTGTAAGTTTACCACCAATAAAACCAACCCATACATTTGTACCCCAACATGTTTGTAAGTTTGTAGGAACAGCCCAGTGAGGATTTTCATTCAACCAATAATGATTATTTTGCTTATTTAATATTCCATTATAAGTAAATTTACTTTCATCAATCCACAAAATATGATTAATTAATAATAGATCATCCTCAGACGTTACCATAAACCAAGAAATAAAATTTAATAATAATAATAATAATTTTGATTGTTTGTTTCCTGGTGTTGTTTAGAATAAAAATATAAGTACGTACATCAGAAAAAAAATTAATTTAATTTAATTTTTTAAATTCTACTTAGCTCTAGTGTAGTCAATTTTGGGTTTAGGACACAAGTTGATAAATAAAAATGGCTTGAAAAAAATTGATGAACCCGAATATGATATTTAAATTACAGGTTGCCATTTAAAAAAAAGTAAGTTTTATTGCGCATGTGCAGTCATAGAAATTTACGATCCATTAGTCTAGTTTAATGTCCTGCAAACAGAATTGAAAAATATTTACATGGTAATGAGTGGTAAAGTGGCCCCTGATTTTTGGGACACACGGTATATGCTAACCTTAATGTTATTTTTTAAGGTGAAAACAGTGAGCATTCATCACTCAGACTAAATCATGAATCTCAAGAAAACCAATGCTTTAACTTATGGGCATTTCGACAACAGAAGTAGAAGAGGAAAGGACTACTTTAACTTCAACAACAACCGCTGAAACACTTATAAACTAATATATTAGTCTTCCTCTTGAAAAACGATTAAGTATTCCACTAGATTTCTGGATCAAACATCAGTCACTTCTGGACTCATTATTTAAAATAGCTGTGAAATATTCTACAACTCCAGTGACTTYAGTTCCCTCAGAAAGAGTTTTTTCAAAGACAGGGGAAATAATAGGTGCCAAAAGAAATCGGCTGGATCCAAAAAATTTAGATATTCTATTTTTTTTTAAACAAAAATTTAAAAGATTTATCATAGACATTTTTATATTTAAAATGGTAAATAGTATATAGTATTTACTAAATACTAAGTAATAAGTAGATACTTTTTTTGTTGTTCTTTACATTATTTAAATTTTAAAATAAAGTGTAAATAATAAATAAATAATGAATTTAATTTAATTTAACTATTGTCTATTTAGTATTTACTCTATTTATTTCTATTTTGTTTAAATAAAATATATTATACAACTGTAAAAAAGGATTTACAATATTTTTTTCTTGTAAAATATCATATCTAATTATCATAATGAACTATATTAAAAACATTTATTTGTTAGCTTTAAGAATGCAAGATAAATATTAGACTATTTATATATTTTTATATATTAACCGACTAATTTTGTTTTTAGTATTTTAGTCAGTTTTCATTCGTTACCTAGTCCTTTTTGATAGCCATAAGTCATTAGTATTTTTTTGATAGTTATTAGTCATTAGTCGTTTTTTGATAGTTATAATTATAAGTCATTAGTTATTTTCTAATAGCATGAGTCATTAAACTTTATGATGTTAGTTGGTCATGGTAATTGTAACCAACTGTTTGTCGGTTTTTTGGAGTAAAATATAACTATTAATCGGTTATTCAAATCATTGGGTAGTGCCCATCACTAATTGTACAACAACAAATTTTACCTTATATTTATAATTTATTTTCTCTAATAAAAAAAATACTTAAGTACTTTTACCTTAAATTATGTAAACACCAAAAGAAATCTGCTTTCAATCTAAAATGTATGTGTTTATAGTAATTTACAAAAAATGTATGTTTCATAAAAATATAGAAGTCCTTTTTTAACTATTAAAATTGTTAATAATTCATGTGATGATTGTATTATTGTATTATTATACCACAGAAGTAAAGTAACACAAAATAATAGTATAACAAGTTCAGTTTTCTTCTGGTTCAGGGTATAATCATACAAAATAATATTATTGAAGTATTTAATTGTAAGTCAATGTATGATATTTTTGCTAAAAATACTATCAACAGCATATTGTGTTTTTCCATATGACAATGAACTCACGATAGACTGACTATTACACACACCTACTAAATTAATTTTATTTATCATATTATTTATTATTTGGTAGTTAYCATAAATTAATTTGTTAACCCAATTTTGTTTATGAAAAAAGTTTCAAAAATAAACAGAAATATTTGACTAAAAAATAAAAATCATATACTATTTTATCTCTCCTATAAAATTTGTTTTTGTACTTCCATAATTGCATTCCTTTACTACTGTAGTATCAAAAAAATCAAAAAATGGTAATTCATTTCTATAGAATGCAAGAAGATCAAATTTTTAGATAGAATGATTGAATGATTAAACTTTGCGTAAAACATAACGTTAAATGATGCTATAAAATTAAACAATGTTTTTAAAAAGATAACCATTTCACAGCATAAAGATTTGATATTAACAAATATTAAAATCTCAATAATAATAATAAATAGGGCTTGGATCCAGTGAAGTTAACTATTATTTATTGTCAGTTAACAATATTACATTGTATTTATTCCATAAAAATTTTAGTTGTATAATAACTGAATCTCAAGTTGTTAGGTTGTATTTATATGATATTATTTTTCTTTTTCAAATTTACTCAAGTTACTTAATTTTGTTTTTCAACTTAAAATGTATGTATAATTTTGAAGGGAAATTGGAAAAATTGATTTAATACTCATTGTTTATTTTGTTTGATTCATACATTTCAAACTTAAAATTATTTTTATACAATATGAGTATGTATATACATAATCTTATTAGATACTGTAACAAATTATAACATGAATAAAAAGTATACTTTGGAAAATTTAGTATAATCCAATCCCAAATAGATAAAAATGTAACAATATAAATAATCTGGTATATCTACATTTGATTTTAAACATTTTGTACACTTCACAATTATTTTATCCCCTAATGAACATTACTGAATTTTGATTTAGACTACCGTCAAATATTATTTTATTATAATTACATTTATACCACTAACTAAAAATATAATATAATAGTATGTACTTACAAATATTCAGAAACCTTTATAAT